TTACAGGTGACATAATAAACAGGTAATCGGTGTTATTTCCTTTCAATGGACACAATGTTATGTCTGATCAGTGTATGTGTGTAATAGGTAAGTAGATTCCAGGCGTCTCCAGCTTGGAGAACCCACTGCTTGATCTTACCAATTTGAAGGGAAAAAAAGACTCTCATTATTGTGATTAACGCTTTTTCCTGCTTGCACTTTTGTAATTTTCTTCTGTTATGTGTTCTTGCTTTTAGAGACAATCATTTGTGGTTCTCTTGTGAATTATTCTGTAAGAACCTCATGTTGCACACAAGGCCAGGAGTGAAAGAAAGCATTCTTATGTTTAGTCATTAATAAAGTAATTTATTACTTGATAATTTATTGGAGAGTAAAAAGAAGAATAATGAATATATATTTATAAATGAACTATTTATCTATCTTTCAAATGGAAAAGAAAGGAAAGAAAACATTAACCAATCAGAAAGCTCCTAAGATCACACCATATGGCTAATTTGCATTGCTTTTTTCACAAAGGACCAAAATGTCAGTTAGTTTATCGTCGTGTAGTTGCTTCATTTTCATGATTTGTTTCTCAGAGCAGTTCACAAAAGGCTACTTTTGTTTTAAAAAAAATCCACATGTAAATTCTTGTGTTTCTTTTTCTCCGTCTCACACTCACTCTCTCTCTCGTGTCTGTGCTTGGCTGTTTCTCTCACCAGGTTGCCATTATTGCTGGAAACTTTGAGCTTGCCGAGCTCATCAAGAACCACAAAGAGTCTGATATAGGTGAGTAACAATGAAGCATATTTTCTTCTCCTCAGTCCAACCGCAGCTATTTTTCTTCAGCCACCAAGTGCATATTCCCGAATCTCTCTTGGGATACATTTCAAATCCTCACATTTGGTTAGATCCTCCTAAATGACTTATTGCAATAACCCCTTCCACTGGATAACAAGATGACTGCTAAAGGGATGAAAGTGTACGTTTATGTCAGGACAATCCAGGGCTGTTTGAGCCAACACAAATGATCAATACTTTGGTCCAGGGAAGCTTTTCCTGGATCAAATCTGGTCAGTTTAGAGGTGTTAAATAATCTGTGTGCTAGCATTTGATAAACCTGGTATATGGGTTTAACTTTTATTTTACTCTGATTGTGATTATTTTAGCTTGTAAGATTTCTTTATTT